AGCAAAACGTAAGTATTAATATTTTATTTGAAATTAAATCAATTTCATTTCAGAAGCAAAACATTTTCTAGGTCTGTGACGTTTAAATTATTTCTATAATCATTCAGTATGAGCATCGTTGCTGAAAATTTAAGAAAAATTAAAACGATCACTTTTTATTTATAACCAGAACAATCATTTAATATTGTTATAACATTATTCGTTAAATAATAATTGGCACTTTTTATAATATTATTTGTTGAATAATAATTGACACTAGTTATAATATCTAAGAAATTTTCTTACATTCGTCAACGAAATATCCGTTTCTGTTATAGAAAAAATTTTATTTTCAAATTTTATTAACTCTGGTCAAGCCAAAATTTTTAAATTTCAAAAATTTGTAAGACTTGTAATATGAGAACTTATTCAAAGAAAAGTACCTCATGCAATAAATTTCAATGTAGCGTATGAGAAAGTTCCGGAATTTCCTCGACCCTGTTGAAAATGTATTCAACAATCAATTTGCAAGCGAAAGAGGTCATGGACATCCAATTAAGTTTCGGATATGCAAATTGAGAAGACCTGCGAAGAAATATTGCATGGCATTAGAAAGATCTAGTTCTACATATTAGGTCATCCCATAAGTTCGTGCCGCGAATAAGCATACACTTTTCGCGATGTATTTTGTAAACATAGAGGATTAAGCAACCGACGGTAAACAATTTAACGGACGAGTTCAGTCCAAAGAAGGCATTCGAAAAAAGTTAGTGAATGGCACGTATTCCCTCTTATACATACACAGATAAAAAGATACAGCACCGTATGCGTATTTTTTCATATTTTATTTATTTATTTATTTAAATGTATTGCATTAGATTTAACTTTGGTGGATTCGAACACTAAGTAACGATCTTAACACAGCAAAAGTCTTTTTCTGTCGTTTGTTTGATAAACTAATCATTTTTGCATAAACTAATCTATAAAAAAATATATGACTGTAATTAAAAAAGTGATTCTTCAGCTGCATAGAAATTATTACCGTTATATTATAGTCCTCCCTGAACTGAACAACTTCCTTAAATAAAATTTTTCAATAGCTCATTCTTTTGTTTCGGAAAGCATCTGTATTTGCATTTTTGTCATATTTATTTATACAAGATCAAGGCAAAAACCATCAAACCATCATCAGGAATTAAAAAATTTAGTTTCTTCATTTTATAGGTCTTAAGAAGTTATAGGTTTGATTCGTCCATAAAAGTTGTAGATCAAATCATATTTCAGCAATACAATATTTTTAATTGAATAATGTTGCTTTTAAATATGAGTAAAATTATTGTAACAGTAACTCTGTAAAAATAAAAGGAACTTAAAACGAAACGAGTCTTGTGAACTTCTCCAGTCGGGGCAAGAATTTATCACATTTCTGGGCAACTCTCCCCTTGTTGCAGTGGATGTCTCTGCTTTGTTTTCGTGTTTTTATATTTATCAAGTAAGACATATTACATTTGTTAATCAAAAAATAAACAAAATAAACGTTATATGTCCTATTCGATAAATACATAGTTAAATTATGAAAAAAACCAAAGGCACAGCAATTAGTCACTCCTCAGTAACCGGCTTCACAAAATGTTTCGTCCATACACGACAGCAATACAATAAATTCTTCATAACAGTCCCTGTTAGAGGCTTGTTTGCATTGTCCCTATGCTATTCTTACGCCTATATGAGTTATTCCTACACCTATGCTAAGGTTCGACGGAGTCAGTCAAGCGTATGATGCGGCATGTGACGCGGTTTCCTATGACTAGAATTCTCGGAATGACATCTCATAATTTTAATTTTAACATTTTTAACTGATTCTTGTTCAATATATTGTTAATAGTTTTCTGATTAAAACGAGATCAAACATGACATAAATATTTCTGATTACAAGAAGTAAAATCAATCGCGATGTAATTGAATAAATATGGCCTACAGTATGTTGTGTTTGGTCTCATTTTAATTAGAAGAATCTGACTGATATGGTAGAATAATTTTTTTTACAAGTGTAAAAAATTATAAATCAAAAAGTTATGGCATCGTTTGTATTCTAGCATTATTGTGTATTTGTGGTAATGTACACCGATATGTTGGTCGCTGGTTTTTAAGTTTGCGAGTGCTTTGATGTTCGTTCTCTCTCTCTCTCTCTCTCTCTCTCTCTCTCTCTCTCTCTCTCTCTCACGAGATATCGACAGCTATAAAGGTAAGCCGCGAGGCTTCAAGAATAGTATTTGATTTGCCTAAGTTGTCCGTTTCCGATTCCAAGCTGCGTGACTACTAAAGATAGTTTACTGTATTATACATATCGTAAAAGAAAAACTTTCGTGTGAAAGTGCATGCTGAAAGCGATGCTTCGATTCTAAATGATACATGCGTCCTGGTTGATCGACCCAAGAACTAGCAGATTGTAAAGTCGAAGTAGGTATTGAAGATAAAATACAATGTAGACGGAAGCGTGAAAAGGCGAACGGCACGTTTTTAGCGAAAGGCTTCACTCGAGTACCAGAGGTAGATTATAACGATACCTACGCCCCCGTAACGACAATGTTATCTACTGGAATAATAGCAGAACTCGTTGTTGAATGCGGATTGCAAGTTTTATCACTAAAGAAATTCTAATAGAAACTGCAAGAGGGATACTGTCAATCGTAAGGGTGGAAGTATCGAAGAAAAAAGTTTGTCGAAGAAAAACAATGTGGCAGACAATGGTACAGAAAACTTGATCGGAGATTTAACCAGTTAGTTTTTGACGAGAATACTCGTCATAATGTAAAATTGAGCCATTTCTTCAGGAACTTTGTTCTTATTCAGGACATCCCGTTTAAGTTGAGACTATAAAGAATATCATAGATGCATGGTTTAAAAAGAAAAAGAAAACGCACAAAAGGCTAACGCACATCTTTTAATATTCTAAGTAGGGATTCAAATGTCACTACATGTTTTTTCATACATAGGCATTTGCGAGATCACTTCGAGGTCATCTCGTTTTCTGAAACCTATATTTTTACTCCGGAATCACATTCTATGTTCTATTTCCTATAAAAAAGAACTGCACAACTTTTGTTTGAAATATTTTCCTGTAGGTTTAATATTTTTTAAGATATACAGGGTGTTCCATTAAAAGTGATACAAAGCGATATCTCTGTTACCGTTAATGATACTCAAAAATGTTAGAGAAACAAATTGTTTGGTTCGAAGGGGCACATTTTGTCATGAAAATAACCTTTTTCATAGATCACATTTTTTGAGATTTCAAAGTCATCGGTATTTTTCTAATGGAATTTTAAATAGATTTATACCATTCTTCAAATGGTCGTAAGTAGTGCAGTCAGTAAATAACTAAGCAAGACGACGCATGCGCAAAGAGTTCCGCACAGCGACGTGGGGCGTCTACCGTCTGAACATTGTAATTCTGAACTACGATGGCGACGCAACGGTGGACGCCCCACGCCGCTGTGCGGGACTCCCTGCGCATGCGTCGCATTGCGTATTTGATTTTCATGATTGCACTGGTCGTAAGTATATCACCGCCATTATATGTATAGGTACACAAGAGAAGAACAAAAATATTATCAAATAAACTCAGTCAGCTACAGTGGAAGAAAGAAGGCGAATCTAAAAGATTCCACACAACAATTTCGATGGTTCATTAATGTATACATAATCTGTATTGGTGTAACGATATTATCATCTTGTATTTAAAAAAAAAAGTAGACTGTTGATCTTTATGAATTCATAAAAAGAATGATAATATTAAACACGAAATAGCAAACACATCAGAATAATGCAAGAATATAGAAACAGTATTTTTAAATGAATAAAATTATTGTAAGAAAAAGTATATCGTTATTCAACTTTTGTTTCTTGTAACTAACGAAGATGTTCGTTATTTTCCACAAAAGTCCGCAGTCTAGTAATAAATAATCTCGGATAATCTCCATTTTAATTTCACCATAGTATGAACGTTCGTAATGAAATGATGTTCTGGGTAGGTCAACAGAATTTAAATCATTCTAAATTATTCTACGAATTCGTTAGGCGAACTTCATAAGCTGAGAATAACTCGTTAAACTGCAGCAAAGATTTCCCGCGCACTAAGTAAAATAAAAGTCACAGTGAACATCAACCGATTTATTACTCTAGTCACTGGAATATTATGTTATAATAAATATTGAATTCATAAAGATTAACAGTCTACTTTTTTTTAAATACAAGATGATAATATCGTTACACCAATACAGATTATGTATACATTAATGAACCATCGAAATTGTTAATTATGTTATTATGTTATAATATTATGTTATATTTTATCAATGAACGAAATCAGTAATTCAATAATATAACTATAAATCTACGTATGGAGATCACTTCTACAATTTCTAGACTGCATTTCAATTCGGATGGATATAAAACTGTATTTCCTGCGAACGTTCGTTACCCGTTCATTCTACTGAAACGATTTTTCGAAGCGGAAAAAAAACTAACCTGCCATCGGAGAGGATTAAGAGAAATTTCAGCGCAGCTCTGGCCGAAACGCGTTACCGGAGTTCGCTTCGTACGCAATTTTTCGTAAATATTTTTACGCCGGTAAATAACGTATACAGGGAGAGTATCGTGACATGACGAACTCAAATAATTCATAAAATATTTTTGTACATATGAAATTCTAATCAGTTTTATGTTATTTTGTTTTTCTATCTAGATAGGAAGATCACTCTTATTTTTTCAAATGGAATTGTTAATATTTCTTTTCGAACTCGGATAAAGAATTGTTGAATACTACATAAAAAAGTATATTACATCAAATGCAGTCTAAAATACACAGTTACTGAAATATTAGTAAAATATGTTTTATTTTAAGCGACGTCTGTTGTAATTAATACAATCACGTAATTTTATTATTGTGAACGAGAAACATTTTCAAGAGTTCCTGCTGTCATCACAGAACATGCACGATTAATATATTGTTGCATACGTTGATTAACGGTCTCCCCTAATGAACATAATTTATTTTCGCTAATTTCTCACTAACTATACAGGCTGTCCTAAAATTATGGTACTTCCCTGAAGTTATTTGAAATAACTTCTTCCTTAGCGTAAATGCAATCCGCGGCTATGTTTAAGAGTTATTAATGAATAACACTGATCAATGAGGGGCGAGTTCGTCTGGCGCGAAGCGACCGAGCTCTGTAATGATATACAGGGGATCCCAAAATTATGGTACCTTCGGGAAATTAGAGATTCTTGAAGTCATTCAAAGCAACTTTTTTCTTCACAAAAATTTTCTGCGAAGCATCGTTAACTAGTCATTAACGAAAAACACTGACCAATGAGAGCCGAGCTCGGCCGCCTCGCGCCAGACGAACTCGCCCCTCATTGATCAGTGTTATTCATTAATAACACTTAAACATAGCCGCGGATTGCATTTAGATTCCATTCGGTGTAACACTTTTTTACGTAGAACTCAACGCAAATTCGGGAAGAAATATTAACCATTCCACTTAAAAAATGGAAGGTGACCTCCATACCACGATAAAAAAAAGCAAAATGACATAAAACTGATTACAATTCTATATGTCTCCCGGGAAGTTATGCAATTTGTATCTGAAACATCTTTTTGTACAACAAATATTTTATTAGTTATTTAATGTTATCATGTTACGAGACTCGCCCTGTATGTATTATATTTATGTATACTACGAGCGTGGTCAGAGAAAAGATCGCAACGCCGAGTGCCGCCGGTCGAAACGCGAAAAAGGTGAGCATCTGTGTAATTAGCGCAATGAATGGCTCCGAGCTCTGTGTGATAATATATTGCCAATGAAATGCGCGTGGCATCACGCCAGACCAGGCGCGCCAGCATTATGTCGTGACGCGTGGATAAATTAACAAAAAAAAAACAAAAAAAGAAGAAAGGAACGCTTAGCATTAGAAAGACGGACACGGTTACATTTGACTGCCGTGTAATTTTTTACTTCGGCGAAATTTCCGGGAAAATTTGTGTCGCGTTAACCCGTAAATATCCGACATAACGCGACACAGTGCGCGCGCGCGCGTCGTCGTTGTGCAACTTTTCTGGAGTCGAAAGAGAAAAAGATCCGAGGACGAGCGATACCGGAATAAACATTTTCAAACCAGTCATTTCGTGGACACGTTTATTAAGCACTAACACTGGAAAGAAGTTATGGCACGGGAAATGTGGTCGGCGTTAATTGAAATTTGCAACGTTAATTGGACAGGCTGCAAAATCCCGTGACCTTTGCATCTCGGGCAATTTCAGTTTTTACGTGTTACTAGGTGTAATAAAGTATAGTTTACGTTTTTAGGTATCCTCTCGTTAGTTTGTAAAATTCTGCGCACCGTATTTTATAATTGTATGGTTGGCGTTATAATTCCTGGGGTACTGTGCGTTCGATAAATATGTCAAAATTTCTGACAATTTTATTGATTCAACCTGGTGAAAGTAAACGCCATACACAGAGTTTTAATCGGCATAACTTTGCCAGCATGTAAGAAAAAAATATTATATGAACATATGCTGTTTAATTGTCACTTTTTGGTGACTTACTAAATCGGTAGTCTACTGAGCAATTAAGGTACTCTTTCGTAAAAATATTTATAGTAGTTATTGTTTTAAGACATATCGTTACACTACGCAACAAACAAGGATGTTCATTGTGTTATTTTTTCTTCGTAAAGTAGAAATGAACATTAAAGCGTTTCATTGCAAGTGCAAAACACTGGTTAGTTTCAAGTTGACTTTGATGCTAAAAATGCAGTGCTTTAATTTTGAAGAAGTAGCAGAACTATTTAGAATAGTATCATTTGTTTATTCGTTTATCTAAAATCAAATTAAATAATACACATTTCCAACGTTGTGAAAATAGGGCTTCTTCCGCTCTTAAACCACTGTGCAACATGGTTAATCACAAACGTGAAAGTGACCCTGACAACCCTTCTGCTGTCTACACCTACTCTACTTTTAGGTAGTTGTATTTAATTATATTTTTTGATCTTAAAAAACTTTGGCTAAGAAATGTAGAAGTTTTAGTTTACGTCACTGTACATCTCCACCACGCATTTTTCGTCTGTTTTCCAATGCAGTTCAGTTTGCTCCACCGAATTTGTTCCGAATAACATGTTCATTAATGATTTAATAATTTTTTAGTCATTTTGCATACTTATTGACAAAAATATTAATATCTATAGAAATTATGAACACACAGTTAAGGATTTCTAATCAAATCTCAAATAAATAACTTAGTTATCGAAATTTGAATTTCTAGAAAATTATCGATCGGACGTGTTGACACTTTAATACTTATATTATTAATTTATTAAATAAAAGTATTATTATAATTTAAGCGATACAATCATCATTGTATTTTTTGATAAATCAATTTAATTGTATAAATAAACGTTCAATGAAATTCTCTTTGCTCCATGACTCGCTATGCCCTGGTCTCCCCTAAGCAAATTGATCTATTGAAACGACAAAAGACAATTTGACAGGGTGTCGCCGAAATAGGTGAGATACTTCGAGATTATTTAAAATCTAATCCCGCAAACAAAAAGTATTTATCTCGAAAATGAAAAGTTTCCGGGCTTACATATGATGACTGCGTAGAGCTACATGTAGATAGAATATGATAATAATGATAATCATAATAATAATGATAATAATAATAATAATAATAATGATAATAATAATAATAATAATAATAATAATAATAATAATAATAATAATAATAATAATAATAATAATAATAAAAATTTACGTCTTTCATAAAAATTAAGTTTTCATCTTTCTGATTTTACCAATATTGCTTTGAATAATATTCTACAAGTATTTTTTCCAGAATATATTTTCTAGATTTTTCGAAACTGACATTGCTGCTTGTTCCCATAATGCAAATGTCATTTTTCCTGTTACAATTTGTAATGATCAAAAATATACCTGTCAATCCTATTTTTCGATACATGCAATTGACATTCTATTTTTAGTTGAATTGGAAGCAGGTGAACGTAGAATAGAGCCGGACACCCTAACAGGATATCTCAATAACTCTATTAAAAGGCGATGCATCTATTATTTCTCATTGCTACGCAAAATGTAAGTTTTAAAAATAAATGAAATAAATAAATTCAAGGAAAAATTATTTGCATAGTATGTGGCCCTCCATACCAAATAATTTGGGCTCTCGATATTTTGTAATAATGGTATCATTGTGAGATGTAACGGCTTTTGTTACGAGGAAATAAGCGTTCTCGCTAGTATCGATTACCAGAATGTTAAGGTTTAAAACAAAACGCGTCCAGGGCTCACTGGCCTTTTTTGTTTTATCGATCGATATGCATTCGACCGATTGGATGAGAAATTGCTCTTCATCGAGCTCGTGTCGTGATTGAGTCGTCTAGCTGGGATACGATTCGGTTTTACGTTTATGTTATTCAATGTGTCTTTCCATCGGTTATTTGTTAAGTAGTTGCGTCAGTTTTAAATAATACGTTGTTACATATATAATTAAGTTTGTATATTAAAGTTAAGGTTATTTAAGTTTAAGGTTGTCCTAAACTGTCAGAGATCCATCTTTGACAACCTCACAGAATTTTGCGTAGCATTAAAATTAGCGGAGATATCATGTTGTAATAGTGTTAGTGGAACACTCTGCATATTACCTCTTTTAATCGTCGCTATACTGCATCGAATTCACTGGTTACTCGTCCTTTTGAAACTAAAACGACAGTTTCGAGAACTTACAATGAATATACAGTGGCCCACGAAAGAGTTCGTACACCTTTTAAAACGCAATAACTTTCTCAAAACTGAACTAAATAACTTGAATTTTTTTAGATAATAGAGGGACAAGTCTACTAGTCGGTATTCTTTTTAAATTTTGCTATTACTTGAAATGAAAAGAAAAGATTAAAAACTCTCGTTTTGTAACTTTTACATCTGAGTCTATAAGGAAAATTTAAAAAATGTCTTCTGTAAATCTCGGTAACTTATATGCGTGCTGAAAATTTGGTCGCAATCGGTTAACTACAAGCGTTGAAGAATTTTAAAAACAGCAGATTTTTCTCATAGTTTTCGGCTAAAATCGTGATAAAGCTACGATTTTTGAGATGTTTAATTTGTTGTAACTTGTAACAACGTGAACCGATTTTGATAAAATGTTCAACATGCAAAGATTTTTGTTATAGGCTCAGATAAAAAAGTGAAAAAACGAGAGATTTTTATTTTTTTGTCATTTTAAGTAAGAGCAAAATTAAAAAAAAACATTTTAGTCATCGTCTAGTAGTCCGCCTACCATCCAAAAAAAATTCAAGTGATTTAATTCAGTTTTAAAAAAATTATTGTGTCTAAAAAGGTATACGAATACTTTTGTGGGACACTGTATGTATATTATCGAAATATCGATGTGGGTCAGAAATGATATTAACAAAAAGTCAGACAAAAGTATTTTCACACCGCTAGAATCAGAATGTAGGAGAAATTTTTGGAAAAAATCCTTAGGGGAAAACAAAAATTTTTTGAAGGTGTGGAAATTTTTCGTTTTGCGTAATAAGGGTTCGGAATTTTTTGCATTGTCAGAATTGGTACAGGAACAACGTGTGATTTAATATAGTAGATTGTCAACAAAATTTTCGTAGAAACATTTGCATGATGCCAGTCGCTGTAAAAGAGGAATTTGGAAACCAGTTATTTTGATTAGATTGATGGTTTCAGCGTTAAAGAAGATATTTTAGGGTCACAATTAAAAGAGACACCCTATATTAGCTCTTCTTTCAGAAAAGCAATGGCACCTGGTTTGACCCGCGTATCCGACTGTGCCCCACATTCCCTTAGCTTGTTTTTGCCATGATTACGTCTTTTAGTAACGTAGTCCACGATCGTATTGTTGGAACGACCAGTTTTTTGCGCTATGTTGCCTCAGCCTCCACCTTCAACACGAATTGCATTAATCGACGCCTTTTCTTTACCAGGAAGTATTATTCCCCATGGCATTTTTTTTTATTAATCATTTTATGTACACACATACGAATGCTATTGGATTTATGCAACAAATGTATATACAAAAATGTATAAGCCTTGTTAATTGTTTTAAGTGTTGTAAACTTTGAACTATTTGTATGTGCCTCATAAGATGCTTTTACCATAAGGAAGTAACTAAAATATAAGTGCTCACGTACATAAAAATGTAGCCCAAACTTGTATTTTTATCTTTAATAGCAAATAATTAAAATAACTAATTTTACTTTCAATTTAATTAATTTGTCTTTCTAACGCTTTATATTGCTTTATTATACAGGGTGTCCCATTTAAGCTAAAATTGTAAAAAATTTCGTAGACACATGATTTAATGAAAATAAACTGACAGGTGTCCTTTAGTATTTCGAGTGGGGAGACAAATGGCACTACCACTTTTTAAATGCGTGGGCGTTTTCTAGGTTACTTCAAGGTCGCCTTGCTTTTTAAATATACCTAAATAATCTAAATAAACCTATATTTTGTTATCCACATGTACAACATTTTTTTTAATTGTTTTTTTGTTCAATATTTTTTAAGATATTTAGTTGATTTTTCATGTTTATGTCGGGGATAATTTTATTTTTCTATTAAAATAACAACGTTACATTTTTCTGTCAGGTATTTTATTTCATTAAAAAATATCATATTACTAAAAAATGTTTCAAACAAATGTTGTGCTCATTGACTCGGCCGCTATGCGTCAGCCGAGATCGCCTCTCATTGGTCAGTGCTTTTCGTTAATAACTCAAAAACTTGCATTTTCGCTAAGAAAAAGGTTAGTTCAAATGACCTTAAGGAACCGCTTATTTCACGGAAGTAACATAATTTCGGAGTACAATTCATACAATGTAACAAACAATACAATGTAGTAACATACAATGGAGTCCAGTTCCATATGCCACGTCAATAATAAAAAATTTGGTTTTGGATTCTAAATAATTAAATAATTTTCGAGGACTCACAGAAGCGTATTTACAGAATATTGCACTGATATTTTGAATCGTTGCTGTATGTTAGACGCACATTTCCTTTGGGCAATAAAAAGATAAATCGAATCATTCTACCAGATTACTACCTTTTGTCACGTTCAACACGAAAACTGCACACTTATGACAGCATAAAAGTGAACATTTATCGCGTGAAGTTGGAATGACATTTCAAAATGTTCTCATAATCTATATTTGGACACGAGTTTTCCATATAAAAGGCATAAATGACTGCGATCGTTATTAACTACTGACAAAATTAAGATAACAACCTACAATCATGAAGCAAAAATTACAGTTCCTCTTTTTGTTCGTTTCAATGATTTTGTTGGCAGGAATTTTCGTGACACTAGCGCTCTTAATTAATAACGTTAATGTGTATTTTATATTATCACATCTGTTACGTTCCGCACAAAATTCATATTAACGTGTAAGCATTGAGCATTTTTACTTTAAAAAACGCATTTTTTTTAATTTTAGTTATAAACTCAGATGAAAAAGTTGGAAAATATAAATTTTTTTATTTGTTTATCATTCTTACCAATTGCAACCTAAAGAA